CCTGTTCTTTTGCTTTACTCTTTTTTTTTTTAATGTTTATTTATTTTTGAGAGAGAGCGAGCGAGTGAGCAAGCAGGGGTATGGCAGAGAGAGAGAGGGAGACACAGATTCTGAAGCAGGCTCCAGACTCTGAGCTGTCAGCCCAGAGCCCGATGTGGGGCTCGAACTCACAGACCTCAGGATCATGACCTGAGCTGAACTCAGACACTTAACCAACCGAGCCACTCAGGCACCCCATCTTTTGCTTTACTCTTGACCAATTTCTCAAGAAGTAAATTTAAGCTATATTTAAGATACCTTTAGTAAAGGTGAATAACCAGCAGCTTCTTGGGTCAAGAACTTCCCTAGCAAAGACTAGAGCTTGGGAGTTTCTAGGTTAATTTTTGCCTAGAAGGTGGTCAGGATGTGTCTGTGTGCTAGGGAGAGAGATGGTCATGAGAATCCAGAGAAATGGCATTTTATTCATGCGCCCAAATCTGCACCTTGCACGTTCTATCCAGGCCCTGCTGGAGCGGATTCCTTCTGCTCTCCTGACTGACCAGTGAAAATCATTAGCATCCGCTCTTCAGTGAGGCACAGCCTGCTGAGCTTGCTAAAGTAAATTGGGTTTAAGAGAGTGGCTCTTACATTTTTTTTCCCACGCTTGCAGGGGCGACTTCCAGTCAAGTGGATGGCTCCAGAAGCCCTTTTCGATCGAGTGTACACCCACCAGAGTGACGTGTAAGTAACTCCTTTTCTCTGGCTTCTCGCCATTGGGTTGCGTTGCAAAAAACACCGTGTTCACCTCTCTTGAGTCTTTGGTGCCTGCCGTATCTCACACGTTTCTGGAAGGTGCAGGAGCCGGCCTTAGAAAGGACGGATTTTATGGTAGGCTGGTGACCAATGCCGTGTTACTAATCTGCCCAGCTTCAAAGCGCACACGGGAGGCGCACCGCAAAGCCACCTCTGGCCAGAGCGGAAGTGCCCCCCGCCCCCCAACTTATTCACGGATGTGCGGCCTCAAAGCCGCTATCGAATTTGCCAAACTGGTGGCATGTTCTTTGCTCCCTGAAAGAAGGAATTTTGAAACTTTTCCTACTCGATGGTCATCTACCATACTTCCCCCCCCCCCCACATCCTAGCTTTGCCCCGACAGAGAAACGCTGAGTGGGGCACGGTCTGCTCTGGTGATTTCCACGGGGCCTGATGGCTCTGTGTACCCTTTGAAAAAAAATCAGACCTTGTCTTGGCACCCTTGAGAACGTTAGAGAAACAGAGTGAACATTCTATACTATGTCCGTGATGGTAACACCTAAAAGTACTGTCAGGGTCAGGCTCCCAACTGATGTTGTCGACTTTTAGGTTTGGAAATGAGGTCGCACGATGTTCCCGTGGTGGGACGCTGGGTGGAAGGTTACAGAGCATCTCTCGGTACTGTTTTCCCCAAGGTCCCGTGAGTCTAGAATTTGTCCAAAATAAAAAGCTGGAATCAGTGGAGTTCTTTTTATTCGTGGGAGCAGGAAGACCCCCGGGGTGGGTGTTGATTCCCTGCCAGCACAGTCCCAGAAAGAAGGTGCCGGGGCCCGTGTTTGCAGGAGCCAGCTGCCTGCGTGGGGGTGCCACTCTTGCTCTGCACAGAACCGGGGAGAGTTTTCATTTCTCACCCCAAACCTGAAACTCCTCCGGATAGAGTCAGTAGGGGTGTGTTTCCAGAGCCACAGTGACAAAGGTAAATGCAGGAATCTCAGCTCGATTATGCCAGGAATTGTCAACATCCTGAAGGGGGCCCAGAAAGTCCAGCCGTGGGTCTCCGCAAGGTCAGGTGCACATGGTACCTTGCGAGTTGTTTTCAGATTCTCTTGTGGGAAACTCGTCTCGGGCCTAGGATTCCTCCAACCTTTTTTTTTTTTTTTTTCAAGTTTTTTTTTTTTAATGTTTCTTTAGTTTTTGAGAGCGAGAGAGAGAGAGAGAGAGAGAGAGAGAGAGAGCGCGCACAAGCAGGGGAGGGGCAGAGAGAGAGGGAGACACAGAATCTGAAGCAGCCTCCAGGCTCTGAGTTGCATGCCACAGGCAGCCCCTCCCTATGTGTCTTTAACTCAGAACAGTGAGACTTGACCCGGAGCTGAAGTCGAGGCTTAACCACTGATACCCAGGCTCCCCCTCCCCTTTATTTTCTTTAAATGTTTATGTATTTTGAGAGCGAGCAAGAGAGAGGGGGAGGAGCAGAAAGAGAGAGAGAGAGCGAAAATCCCAAGCAGTCTCCAAGCCGGCAGCCTGGAGCCTGATGGGGGGCTAGATCTCATGAACTGCGAGATCATGACCTGAGCTGAAATCAAGAACCAGGCGCTTCACCACCTGAGCCACCCAGACACCCCAGGATTCCTGCATCCTAACCCCAGCCTGATGCTAACTTCCTTTCATGACCTTAGTAAATCAGGAACCGTTTGTGCCCTCAGATGCCCCACTGGCTGCGCTGGGCAGCTGTTACCTCCAGCATTGGTTTGCTGGCCTTATTCTGTCAACTGCTCCTGCTGGGGGGTCAGGCACATGGGCTGACGGAAGAGCCGGACGGCAGCATGAAGAGCTTTGCCGCTTCCGAGTCGAGATCCTCACATGCGAACACCGCATTTAACATGAACAACTTCACTTGAGAGGGATGGAATTAAAACCCAACCACCCCAAAGCTCCACCAAAAAGAAAAAAAAAAAAAGTGATGGTTTACCATCACTCGCGTGTTGTCTGTTGATGGAAAATTCCTTGAGAACATCCCTCACATCATCATCACTTGGGGATGCTCCTTCGGGGCAGGAAGGAACATGTAGGATGAACTTCAGGAGGGCTCGGGTCATTTGTCTTTGAACATGAGAAGTGAGTGGGTGTTTATTTTCTTAACCGGGCACGTTGAGGGTTTTTGCGATTCAGGTGGGTTAGTAATAACTGTGTTTTCTCTCTCCTTTGCAGTTGGTCCTTCGGGGTGTTAATGTGGGAGATCTTCACTTTGGGAGGTTCACCCTACCCAGGGATTCCGGTGGAGGAACTTTTTAAGCTGCTGAAGGAAGGACACAGGATGGACAAGCCGGCAAACTGCACCAATGAACTGTAAGAGCCATTGTCTCTCTTGACGCTGTGTCGACCCGCCCCCCTCCATGCCAGGAACCCTTCTCCTGACTTACTTCAGGTTTTCTAAGGCCCCTGGTTTTCTGTACATACTCTAAGAAGAGTTACTGCTGGAACTTTCTGGGCTCAACCCCAGAACTGCAGTAGATAACCACACTGACAGCCATGACTGTCCCAAAGAAAGCACATTGACGTGTATGGAGTGAGCTTTAAATCACAGAGGGCATCAGGCTTGCGGGCCGAGGGCTCCTACCTTTGTAGAGTGATCTTCCTGGACCACTGTGCTATGTCCTGTCGTTGTCTCTCAGAGAGACAGGGAGAGATACGCCTGGCCTTTTCTCATATACAAGCTGGAAAGCCGTGGGGCTGCCCACATGGAGTGGGGGATTAAAGGCCAGGATAGCTTTTCTTCACTGCGTGCGCCGGCCTCCAGCACAGCCAGGGGGAATGGGTGTTTCCACAGCTTTGTGACCGCTGGAGATTGCCCTTACGATTGACATGGGCCCCCATTTCCTTGGAGCAGACTCGTGTCTGGTGACCTGTGTCCCACCCACGGTTTAGCACAGAGAATTAAAAATTTGTCCAGGTGCCACCCTTGGAGCCCCAGGTCTGACTGGAAAACCATGAGCTGGTTTCTAGAAAAACCTAGCCCACACTTCAAGTGGAATTATGTTGTGTTTGTGACATGTGTCCTGTGCAGTAGAATCAGTGCTTTGAAAAGGAGGCTCTCTCTTCCCAACCCCCCAGGGTTAACTGAGAAGAGTGATTGTCCCAGAGACTGTGGTCTATTGTGTATCGTTTCATGGGGATTTTATATCCGTAATCCCATGAGTACTTTTCACTGCACAGTGGACATCTGATGAATGGCCACATTTTATAGTATATTATATAAAGGTATTTATTGTGCTGCCTGTCATTCCTATTGCTTTTTCTACTATAGAGGGTCTGTCGAAACCCATAATCAAGATAAGGCCTGGGACCCTGGGCCTGTCCAAGAGTTAATCAGGAAGTTAACGTGCAGCCCAGTGATGGCAGATCAATTCATAAAAACCTTACCTTAAAGTTGTGGTTTTCAGACTTCATTTAAAACAAACAAACAAACAAAATCTGAGGAAGCTTTGTCCTCGACAGTCATTAAAACCCGAAGCGTGAGAGAGAAGATTCTCCGTGTAGTTGCTCTGGTCCAGGCAGGGGGTGGGGGCGGGAGGGGGTTGCCGGGGACAGACTGGAGACCTGGTCCCATAATAAGGCTTTTCCTGCCACGTCCCAAAGTGCCCTTGAAGGTGTGATACGCCCATGGGGTGTCACCGTCACAGGAGCACAGAACCCGGCAGTGAAGATGTCTGTCTTCATGGCATAGATACTGTTCTGAGACATTTTGGGTAAAGTGATGTTTTTGTAGCTCAGAGCGCTTGGTTTCAGAGGAACCAAGAGGTGAATTTGGTGGGGGCGGGGGGGGGGGGAGTGCAGAGAACTGCCTTCTCATCTGGAAAGTTCTGATCCATTGTCATCACTTCGGACGTGTCTCCATAGCGCCTCTTAAAGCTGGCTTCTAGCCGGGCGCCTAGTACGTACAGAATGCATTCACCAGGAAATCCGTTTCCCCAGGTATATGATGATGAGGGATTGTTGGCACGCCGTGCCCTCACAGAGGCCGACGTTCAAACAGTTGGTGGAAGACTTGGACCGAATTCTCACTCTCACCACCAATGAGGTAAGAACCCCCCCTTCCAGGAGCCCGCGGCCCTTTCTTGGGAGGCCGGTGCGGCGCTTTCAACGCAACCTCGCCCGCAGGAGGCTGCGCTGTGGTCGATCGTTTTCCCACGGGGCTCAGACAGAGTCAAAATCTCTGCGCCTCCTGAGTCCTGAGTTTTCTCAGAGCGGACTCACGCAACCGGACCCTCCGCGAGGCTGCGCCTCTCTGGCTCTGGGGTGGTGGGTAGGAGAGGGGGGAGGGGAGAGAAATGTCCGGCGACGGCCTTTGGGCTTGCATGGGAGGGTGCGTGGGCCAGTTGGACTCCACACCCTAGTCGTTAGTGGAGGAGCCGCCGATGGGCTCCCTTGGAAGCAGTGGACTGCCATCTGAGTTCCCGCACAACACACGTCCCTGTCCCTGTCCGCCGTGACCCTGTCCGCCAACGGCCTGTGGCCTCTATCCCCGGGTGTGTGAATGCACACACAGTTTTCCTATAACGGGCGACTTGTGATTTTTTTTTTTTTTAATTTTTTTAACGTTTATTTATTATTGAGAGACAGAGAGACACAGAGCATGGGCAGGGGAGGGGCCGAGAGATGGAGAGACACAGAACCCAAAGCAGGCTCCAGGCTCTGAGCCGTCAGCACAGAGCCGGACGCAGGGCTCGAACTCACGGACCGTGAGATCATGACCTGAGCCGAAGGCGGATGCTTAACCGACTGAGCCACCCAGGCGCCCCTTCGGTTTGCAATTTTTTTTAAGTGAAAACTTGTATTTTTTGTCAAAATATTTTTTCTATAAAATATTTCTAGTCTGTACCAGTAAAAGAAACACCCCTCACTGTCCGAATCCAGTCCGGGCAGTGCCTGCTTCAGCATGCAGACAGAGAGTGATCTGTATGGTTGTGGAAAATGTATGATCTGAGCAGGAGAGAGCATAAAACCCAGCAAGGCCAGAAAACCCCCCACGAAAAAACTGTTCATGAACGAATTGGAGACATTCAGTGAGGGTACAGAGAGCAGTCTTCCCTCCGAACGAGAAAAAAAACCTCCCCCAAACCCACAGTTGTCTTACCAACAGCAACGAAAGCTTAAAATTGCTTAAATAAAAATAATACATTTAACGTATTTTTAAATAATACATTTAATAGTATGGGAATGATTTTTTCAAAAAAGAAATAATCCGAAGCCTTAAGCCAGCAACATTATCTTGTGCGTCTAACTGTAGCTGATAAAAGGAGAGATTGCATTTAAATGAATACAGCTGACCTTCAGAAGTTGAAAGGAAAGGAATAGTTCAAGGGGGGGAAAAAAAAGCAACTTTCTTCTCCTGCCAAAATTGTTGTTTCTAGTGTAAGTTCCTTTAACCCTAGACTTGGACTCCACTGATATTCCTATTTTTTTCCCTATCAGATCTGAACATTTATGGCTGCATGTAGCAACTGGGACAGCACTAATGTTCCATTTTAATGGTCCTGCGTCCATGCTCCGTGCTACTTTATTTATATATTTATATTTAAAGCGGGCCCATTCATGCTGAAATTTACATCTAGCATCCTAAAATAAAGCAGAATGCCATATTGTCTAACGGATATAAAAATCGAAGTTTCTTTCCTTCTGAAAATCATTACCATATGCTGGAGAAAAATGGTTCCATTTAGGACAAAATTTCATTTTTATCATTGTAAGCAAAAAGTTCTCTTTTGATGTGGTGGGTGTGTTTGTTTCCAGTTGTGCGGTTAATGCTGATGCTGTTGGAACTTACACATCCCCCACTCTCGGATGAGGGTTCTTTTCTTGCCAACCCTGGTGATGAATTATAGCGGTTTATTTTTTTTTTTAATTTAAAAAAATTTTTTTTGTCTTTTAAAATGTATGGTCGCCAACATTCTGTGGGCTCTTTTCTGATAACACGGGGGCTGGTTGTGCTGTGGTCTGCACTTTTTGTCTCCCCTCAGCAAAACCGCCTGTCCTGGAATGTCACTGGCTTGGGGGGTGTGAGCAGAACGGCCCCAGTGTGTGAGCCCAGCGGGGGCAGCGAGGCCCGGCTGTTTCCCCGTTTAGAAATCTTCCCATAGTTCGTAGAATGGGGGTCTGCAAACCTCGTCAGTAAAGGGCCAGATAGTAAATATTGTCATCATTGTGAGCCAGACGGTCTCTGTTGGCAATATTCAGTCCTACCATCAGGGTGAGAAAGCACTTACGGACGATGCGTAAATGAGTGTCTGTCTTCCGGATAAAACTTGATGGACCCTAACATTGAAATTTTATGTCATTTTATATCATTTTAATGCTATGAGATACTATTCGTCTTTTGATTTCCACCGCCGCCCCCCCCCCCCCCCCCCCCCCCCCCCCCAACCATTGAAAAATGTTAAAAAGCCATTTTTCGCTCATGGGCCATACAAGACCAGGCAGTGGACTCAGAGCCTACCATAAGTCGGAGGAAATGTTATCCTGGGTCGCCCGGGGAGCTCAGAAGAGCCCTTTTTGAATTTCAAACTTTTCTTTAACAGTCCATTATGGATTGAACATGCACGAGTCTATCCGAGCCTTTTCTGAACCTGTTTACATTTTCAACTCAGAGGGCTTCTGAGAGTGATGATTACATCTGTGAAATTACCCGCTGAAGGGAGACATATTCCCCTTAAATGATCCTAGAAACTGCAGTAGTGAAATGTAATTCGTAAAATAAATATTCATGGTCTCAGCTATTTAAAGGGGTCCCAGGAGTCCACAGCACATTATGTTTTTGTCATTTTGCCGGGGCTCGAATTTGACCCGGGTGCTCTCTCTCGAGGAGGCACATAGCCAGCCGCTCGCCTGGGGTCTGTGCGAGTGGAATTGACCGGTCGGCACCTCCTTCTTATCAGCTGGGTTTGGATGTTCCCTGCTTGCCCATAGTTCAGTCACGATGGGTTGTGAGAGAAAAGTCGAGGGCAGCCTGGAGTAAACCTAGTTGGGGTCTCGAGGAGGTCTTGGTGGGACCCGGGTGGGGGCTGGATCTCTGGAATCTTCAAGGGGCGCCCCTGTCCTGTCCCCGCTATCGCGTCTCGAGAGACTGCGTGTGAAATAAAAGTCTTCTCTTCCCTTCTTTCAGGAATACTTGGACCTCAGTCAACCTCTCGAACCGTATTCACCTTGTTATCCTGACCCAAGATGAAATAAAACGTCTCTCTTCCCTTCTTTCAGGAATACTTGGACCTCAGTCAGCCTCTCGAACAGTATTCACCTAGTTACCCTGACACAAGGAGTTCTTGTTCTTCAGGAGACGATTCTGTTTTCTCTCCGGACCCCATGCCTTACGAACCATGCCTTCCTCAGTATCCACATGTAAACGGCAGTGTTAAAACATGAACGGGCTTGTCCTTCTGTCCCCAGACAGGACGGCACCGAGAACCTAGCCACGCTGAGCAGGGAGGCCACGCCCCCGGGAGCTTGCTGTCTCCACTTGTATATATGGATCAGAGGAGTAAATAATTAGAAAAGTAATCGGCACACGTGTAAAGAGTGTATACAGTTGGAAACTTGTAACCTTCACCAGGAGAAGAAGAATGTTTCTGGGGCAATCGACTTGTCCGTGGGCCACGACGCGCCCATGACCCACTGTGGGTACTGGCTGTGGACCAGTTGGACTCAAGGCAAACGTATGTTCTGCCTGCCTTGTGAATTTTGTAATAATTGGAGAAAATATATGTCAGCACACACTTACAGAGCACAATTGCAGTATATAGGTGCTGGGTGTATGTAAATATATTCAAATTATGTATAAATATATATTATATATTTACAAGGAATTATTTTTTGTATTGATTTTAAATGGATGTCCCAACGCACCTAGAAAAATTGGTCTCTTTTTTTAATAGCTATTTGCTAAATAAATGCTGTTCTTACACAGAATTTCTTAATTTTCACCGAGCAGAGGTGGAAGGATACTTTTGCTTTCAGGGAAAATGGTATAGCATTAATTTATTAATGAATTGGTAATATACAAAACAATTAATCATTTATAGTTTTGTGTTTTTGTTTCTTCGTAATTTAAGTGGCATTTCTATGCAGGCAGCGCATCGGACTAGTTAATCTCTTGCTTGGACTTAACTAGTTGTCAGATTCTCTGACAAGAGAAATATTTACCGAATATGACTAATTTGGGGAAAGTGAAGTTTTGATTTATTTGTTCAAACTCTGCTGTCAGATGATTGTTCTTAAACCACCAAAATGCCGATAGTAAGCGAACCCCATCAATAGGAAAGTATTTTGTTTTGCTGTGCAGCCCTGTCACTGGGCCCGTGGATCATGTAACTGGACTTCCCAAGACAAATGGTACCAGCGCTCTCTTAAAAAGATGCCTTAATCCATCCCTCAAGGATGGACCTTAGTCGAGCTGATAGCAGAATGTACTTCTCTCCGGCAGCTGGACTTCTGCCTGAGTCGCACGTTAATCAGATTAGCCTGTATTCTCTTCGGTGAATTTTGATAATGGCTTCCAGATTCATTGGCGTTAGAGCAGCCTTTTAGAGTCTTAACATCTCATCGTAGAAATTGAACATTGAGTTGTTCTGCTGATAGTTTGGGGGATACTTCCATCTTTTTAAGGGATTGCTTCCGTGTCGTTCTGGCAGGACCTCGCGGAAAGATCCAGCCTGATACCCGTGTCAGACACGATGTCGCCGTGTTGTTGGTTCTGTCTTCAAGTATCGTGTTTTGCTTTGGAAACACCTACTCACTTTGCTATAACCATGCAACATGAATGCAGATTACACTGATTCTATTTGTTACGGAATTGGAGAAAGTATTTAATAAAGCCTGTTAATTTTTATACTGACAATAAAAATGTTTCTACAGATATTAATGTTAACAAGACAAAATAAATGTCACGCAGCTTATTTTTTTAATACTCTTGTCTCACCAAATGGTTTCCTGTGCTTGGAGGGGTGTCGACTCAGTGCTGTTCGGTGGGATTGCACGAAAGCCAGAGCCGGGAAGGCTCGTTGTTGGCTACAAAGCGGTGATGAATTATCAGAGGGGTTGGCTGAGACCAGCAGAACCTGGGACCCTGAGACCGGTGGATCCCGTGGAAAATCAGGGGAAGTTGGTTTATGTTCTGGCTCTGTTGCTTCGTAGGGCCCCAAAGATGTCCTTGTAGCTTTGTGGGCCCTAGTTTCTCCCAGAAGAGCAAACGGGGGATGGCATGGGTGAGAGCTTTGCAAACAGGGACGTGGTGTTGTAAGGATGACAGGTGCTGAAAGACGTATTCAGAAGATAGGGACCCTGGGGAGGGACCTTGAAACCTCTTAGGCTGGCTTCCCCATGATGTACGGAGAGGAGAATTTGCTTCAGCATTTCAAAAAGATAGCCTGAACAAATCTTAAAATGATTTGACCTATTTCCATGCCACCAAGAATCTGAAGAGGGAAATGGTGTTCTTCCTGCTAATAACGTGCAAATTCTAGGACTCAAGCTCTCATTACTAAACCTGCCTGCCAGCCTCCGTGGCAGGAAAGGGAGACAAAACTAGTCTGACTTCTCCCAAACTTCAGCCATGCTCTCGGAGCCTTATGGTGGAAAAGTGCCGTGTTTGGGGCCTTCATTGTGTTTGAGGCCATTAGTGGACCGAGGGTCTTACCGGCTATCTGGAGGGTGGCCTACTGGCCTGGTTCCGCGTTTGCCAATCTCCCGTGCTCCCCACCATCGATCAGCAGCAGAGCAGAGTTGTAATCCCACCCAAGAGAATGGGACTTCAGAAACTAATTGGAAGCAGCTTTTAATTACGTGTGTACAGGAGGATTATTCTGCAGCCCACTGGGCATTGTCACGGGGGTGGGGGGGAACCCCTTTGGCCCGGGCTGAGGGCTAACTTACTGGTGCGGCATGAGTGTTTGAAGCTGGGTGCTGCATCCGTAAGAGTCCTTCTCTGTGAAGATCGATGGTGTGCATTTTATGCCTTTGGGACTAAAGGGGCAGTTTATGGCTTTTTAGTTGACAGTGGAGATTCGAATCCCATACTGGCTGTTGGCCATTTTGATTTTTGAATTATTTTGAGAGATTTGTCATCGAGGGGAAGATGGCGGAATGGTCCATGAGAAGGATGAGAAATACTTCTTTTTTTGAGCCCTGCCCCAAATAAACAGATGGAAGCAGGGTATGATAGCAATCCTGGAGCTTCTGGTCCTCCCCCCCCCCCCCCCCCCCCCCCCCCCCACCGCCGCCCCCCACCAGACCCAAGGAAAGCAATGGAAATTAGTTGAACCACAGTGTGATTGCCATCATGATGTGAGATCAGTTCATTTACAAAGAAACAAAAGTCTCGGACACCTCCGTGAGAGGTGGGTCGTCCCTGGGCCCGCCATCTCCAACTGGGAATGGTGTAGTCAAGAGGCTGCCTCGGAAAGTAGCTGGTGGTGGGGTCAGGCAGGGTGGGGAGGATAGAGTGGTGTGGAGAGATGGGGCCTTCCGGAGGGTTCTGTGGATTCCCTTGGGACTGGGTACCCTTCTGCCCTGTTAAGCCTCTCAATCCTTTACCTCAGGGAGCTTCCCTCCACACAGGAACCTAAAACACGCAGTTACAAACCTCTGGCAAACTTGCACAGCCATGCATTGAGGACCCAGCCACCATTCTGGAAACAGGAAGTTGGTCCACTAGCTTGAACCGTACAGTTAAGCCTCCGGAAGGGTGGCATACAGAGGTCCCCACAATTACAGATTAGGAACTGGAGGTTCCTGAGCGTGGCATGGCTGGGAATGGTCTAAATAAGGCTGCAGCCTTGCACAGTACTGGAGAGAGACGGTGGTAGACTGAGACAGAATGAATTCATTTATTTCTAAAAGCTGGGTGATGTTGGGCAAGTCTTGGATTCTATGTGGACTTTGATTTCCTCGACCGTAGGACTAGTTAACCACCAGCCTCGCGGTCCCGCAGTGAGGGCTACCTAGAGGAACTTAGCTCAGCTCCGGCACGCCAACCTCAATAAATAGTGTCCTTCTAAGAATTTGTTTTTGTACCTCTGTGATTTTTTTCCCTAGTGTATTCACAGGGTTGTGCAACCATCGCCCCCTAATTCCAGAACGTTTTCATCACTTCAAAAGGAAGCCCTGCCCCAATGAGCAGTCGCTTGCCATTTCCCCTTTCCCCTGAGCCCTGCAACCCTCGATCTGCTTCCTGTCTATGGATTTGCCTATCCTAACCATTTCACAGAAACGGGATCGTAGTTTGTGTTTGCCTTCCTTCACTTAGCGTGGTATTTTCAAGATTCACCCATTTTGTAGCATCTATCGGTAATTCCTTTTTATTACCAAATCCTATTCCGCTGTGTGGATATATACACATTTCGTTTATCCATCCGTTGGTTGATGGACATTTGGTTTCCGCTGTTTGCCTATCAGGAAAAGTGCCGCTATGAACATTAGCGTACAAGTGTTTGTGTGGACATAAGTTTGCATTTCTCTTGGGTGTATACCTAGCAGTGGGATCCCTGGGTCACACGGTAACTCTGCGTTTAACCTTTCGAGGAACTGCCAGAGTGTTTCCACAGTGGTTGCACTATTTTACATGCTCACCAGCAATGTATGAGGGTTCTCGTTTCTGCATATCCTTGCCAACATTTGCTATTGTCCGTATTTTTTATTATAGCCATCCTAGTGGGTGTCAAGTGTCTTCCTAAGAATGTGATAGCCGAGGAGATCCCCCTCAGATCATGAGTGAAAGATACAGAATACCTTACTGGGTTCTCTAGAACAAAATAATTGGCCTGGCTTTCGCACTTCTAAAATGGCCGAGATCGGTGAGAGGGCTTCAGTGGAGGCTCATGGAGCAGAGGGTGCTGAGAAATCGATCCTTCTCTTTTTCCTCTTGGCCGAGAAAGGAAGGAAGCTCGGCCACGGGCTGCAGAAGGAGAGACCTGCTTCCTGGCCGGAATCCTTGAGTACGTCTCGCGTCCCCAGTTTTACGCCAAACGAAGTCTGGGGGACTTGAGCGATCCATTGGGACTGATTCATGCACCATTACTTATGTATGCGCATTGGAGCCCTCCTTCTCCAGCCAGCGTTTTGATGTTATTTATTTTTTGATGTTTTTAAAGATGAAAGCAAAGTTTATCTTCTCTCACATTTCATCCCCAGGAAGCCTTGAAATGACTTGGCCGGGCACGGACTGCAGGAGCCCTTCCACGTCTTAAGTGACGTCCTGGAATGGGGCCCTTCTTGTGTCTTTTTTGCCTCAGGGTTCAGGGGGTTTTGATGGGCTGCTCCAAATTGCCTCTCAGTCCTGGCTCAGAGGTCACACGAGGTGCTGTGGAAAGAAGACAGTGGATAGGAAGGACAACGATCCGCGTTGACCACCTTGCCACTATCTCCCATTA